TTGAGAATTTTTCCATTTATCACTTTCTTTCTCGTTGTTTTAAATAATTATTCTTCAACTCGTTTTTTATTGTGAGTCATCTGTCAGCTTGTATGGGTAACTCAGTTGATAGATGACAGAATACGTCACCTGTCAACAATAACGGCATTCAAAATTACGTTACAAAATTATAAACAACATGAAAAACTTATTATTTTTTGAACTTTTAAAAGTTCAATTCTAGATAGCAGTTTCGTGTTGATAAATCTGTATTTGACTTTTCTTGTCCTGCTTTTCATTTTTACAGATTTTTATTTAACTCATTAATATGTAAGCTATTACTTTAATGAAAGGCGCTATTTATAATATTACTTAATAATAATAACAAAATATAAATCCTGTTTTTTTTATTTGTTTTTTTCTATTACTTTATTATTATTGTTATCCTGATAAAGGTTTTTAATTTCTTTATATAGTGGATCACGAGTTTAGGACAAATAAAAAACTTTTCCTTAAATAGCCGACGTTTCGAACATTTATTATTTCATCATCAGGGCTGTTGGACACATGTTATTAATAATTAGGTACATGGTGGAAAGATTACTTTGTGTGTTACCTTATAAGAAAATTACAACATGAGGAGTTTTTCTATAAAATGATTTTTCTTCATTTTTTGTCAATTGTGTGTAATTAAAGTTAGCACTTATAACTATTGTAACTATTTTAATTTCTTTTAATTGTTTTCAATATATACTTTTTTCTAGTTTATGCTTACCAGAAATACGTTATTATAAATAAAAATTCCTCATTTGTTAATTTAAAATGTCGCACTCGCACTCGAAATAATTTTAAAATATTTTAGAAATGCAATAATTATTTTAACGTTTCTAAATAAGTTATTTTGAATTTTCTAAATTTAAATATTCTACACTCTGTAAACACTGAGTAAACACAGTAAACACAATACACGAATTATAAACATTTTGACCTGTAATAATGTCAAAAAATTAGTAAATTACAATAAAAATAGTTTGGTTGTTTTTTTAAAGTATTACTTGAATTAGTGCATTGCGAAAGAAAAAAAGTTTATAGTGAATCTCAGCTTTGTCCACTTTTATCCTGAGTCGAAATTACATATGCAAACTTATTCCGAATCCAGTTAGATACAACTTTAATTAAAACTTTAATTGCAAACGTGACCATCTAAATCAAATTTAAATTAAGTTCTACAAGTCGAGTAAAAATTGGCTCGTGCTCAATACCTTTTTTATATTTGTTCTCTTGCATTGTACCCTAGTTTGCTTTAGTACGAACATGGAAGTGTTGAGTCGTTTAGTAGTTTATTTTCAATTACTTCAAACTTGAAGTTCTGTATCCTCCCTATTCGTCGAGAAATTGCCAATTGTTAAATTTACCCTAACACAAATCCTCCCACGGGAAAATACCCTCCTTCCCAACATCCACATAGGTGTAGCAAAACCATTTAATTGATTGTCTATAAAAGATTACAAATCACTTTGAAACCTGTTTGTTTTTTATGTTAATAACGTTCGGCTAAAGCAAACAACCAAGATATTAAAATCCACCCTCCAAAAAGGCAATTACCCGAAAAATACAAACGTGACCTTTACCTCTTCCAGCGAGCGATTAATTAACTTTTTTATACCCGAAGCTGCGTCCACCTCCCGAGTTTTCTTTGCAGTGATAATCAAATTAATTCCGTAGACAATACGATGGTATTTGTGAAAAAATGTGTAAATTTAAGAAATGGAAGGTAATTAAGAAGGAAAGAGAATTATGACTTGTGGCGACATTAATTATCTTGAGATAAACAAAACAAACGGTTAAGATTTTTCATAATTGTTAAAGTTGTTGAAATAAAGTTCGCAACGACAAAAACAAGCTCGTAAATAACTATTTTTAAAAATAATGTAGTTCTGCAACAAGTGCATAATCTGAGAACTTTATGTGCTTACAATATACACTCAAAATATTTATTAGTCTTTTTAAAACAAATATTTTAACAATTTTTTTTTTAATCTTAATTTTTTCATATTTTACTTTGCTTTATGTTCTTTAACTTTCTTTTTTTCATTATTGCGTTTGGTAGTTTTTAGATCGTTTTACTTTTTTTGTTTTCATAATTAGTTTTCACAAATTTTCTTTTCTGTATATTTACTTTCGTTTTTTAAATTTTTCCTTATTTTGTACTGTGTTGATTTCTTCAAAGTTATTTTCTTGCAAATATTATGTCCTTTTTCTGTCTAACCACCTTATTTATACTTTTACTTTTATTATTCTTTGCTATCTTTTTGTCTTCTTCATTTTTACTAATACATTATCTTTTTTAATTTTCTCATTTTAATTGTAGCACTTTTTTTCCTCTTCTGTTAGTTTGACATTGATTATCAGTTTGCTCTTTTTGCCACTTTTTTTTGTTTTGTCATTTATTATTTTCTCTTGAAAAGTTTAGAAGTAATGTTTTAATAAGAAGAAATAAAAAATAATAAATTTTAAATAAATCTTTATTTATAAAAAAAATGTCATACTGTATATCCAACAAGTACATAACCTAAATAGATATGTTTTTTCTTTCA